GTACGGAATGCCCGTTTTCAGAAATCCTCTTCTGACCCTCAAATGGTGGGTAACCCTGATCTCAAGTCTATCTTAGGAAACAAACGGGAAACCCTTCAACTGGTCAAAACAAATCATCTATACGGGGCAAGGGTACTTATTAATTAACCGTAGCCCGATTCAACTTCCGATAGTCAATACACATCCAAGGCACCATCTTTTTCTTTTTAACAAAGAGGGCCGGCGCTGCCCACGGCGAAAACACTAGGGCGACAAAAGCAAACTTATCGAGCAATTCCTGGAGTGAACTTTCACAACTCCACCAACTCTGCTGGGAGCAAAACGGTAAGGTGCCATGAAATCGGCGCCGTAACCAGGCACTAAATCAAATAGAGAACTCTATCTCTCGTTTTGTCGTGAGGTGGCAAACTAAAACAAAGATCTTCGGGAAAGACATCCGAATACTCACAAACCACCTCTCGCAACACAATCAACGAGTCTGCAAACACACTCGCCTAACTTTTTTCTCAAAAGCTAGCCAAAGTAAACACTAAGCTCACTTCGCCCTCGCGAATCATACCCCGGTGGCAAAAACACATACAAACCCGGTCTCCGCAAGAAATGGAACCACTCCCCGCTCAAGGTTACACAATGTAACCCTCTGGCGTAGCAATCAATAACACCCGGTATGAACGATAGCCAGTCCATAACCAAATAACAATCAAAAAACCCTTCATGGGCATACAACAAACGGAAAAGGAAGCCTATAGTCGGCGACCTCCTAGTATCCAACCTCTAACAACCCTGTTTCAGATCAACTCAACACCCAAAGGCGATACACACAAATAAGGAGATGCTAACTGTGCTAACCTTCCAATTCCCAAAATAGATGAATGCAACAGATACAAAGAATGAGATGCACGCCGTGTCTATACACACTAGCAACTGAGTTGCAAAAACAAGAAAAGTACCTCTCACCACTGAATGGGCCGGTAACAAATCCTGCGCGGTAAACCAGCATACACGCGCCCCGTAAGGCCCCTGGTCTCCTGCTCGCACTCTCGGAGCAAAAGACTGCTGCCAGAACTGGGAATGACGAAACTCCGGATTGGCCCTCGAGGCCTGACAGACTGGAGCTGGCTGAAAAACCACTGCGTCTGCCTAGAACCAGACGCTCTGAAGTTGGGCAACACAACTGTGGGCAAAAACCTCTTCATGGTGGCCCAGGTTGTCCAACACTGATAAACAAGTCAAGAGCTGCCCCCTGCCCAAACTCTGACTCTGCGGTCCTAGCTGAAGAAGAAGCAGCTTTCTGACCTCCCCCTTCTGCGGGCAAACAGAAACCATTGTGACCCAACTGGCCACACTTGTAACAGGTGAATTCCCCCCTGACCACCCTCCCTGAGCCCACACTCGCAACTGGGAAGGTCGATCTAGCAAACACCACCGCTGCGACTGCTGAGGGTTAGAACCCCTCTGCCTCCTGCAATCAACTCCTGACTACCTGGCACCTCTTGAGCCTCTCTGCCCCATCCTCCTCCGCATCATAAGCTCCATATGAGCCTGCAGCATCGACCAGGTGTCTATACTTCCTCGGATATAACCCACCAACTCTCAACTTGGAGGCCCCGCCTCAACTTCCGCTCAAACTCATAGAACGGCGTTCCTCAGACGCCAACACAGTCAGGTGCAAACCTGGAACAAACTGGTAAAAGTAGCTCAAACTCGGCCACTTGACAGCCCTGCTGATTAAAGCCGGCTAAACTGATCCCCTCAGCTTTCTCTCTAGCTACTGCAGACAAAAACCTCTCCTGAAAAGGCAATTCACAAATGCTCCCAAGTCCCACCAACACGAGCTTCTGTATTTCCACCATTGACCCGCTCTCCCTTCAGCTGGAAGGATGCCAAGGTCACTTTCAGTGCTCCGTCCTCAGATGCAAAGCACTCAAACGTCTTCGTTGTCTGTTCGAAGCCATTCAATTCTGCCTTAAGCGGCTCTTTAGGATCCCCGATAAACTCGTCCGGATACACCAGAAAGAATCCCTCTTCAAGAAGGAATGCCCTACCTCAACTGCGCCTGATTCCTCAGCCCTAAGAATACCAAAGCTCCTGCTAACTTCTGGCCAAGGCACCCATAGCCTGCTGACCCATCTGGCTTCGGCACATTGGCCTGACCAACTCCCTCCTGCACTGCCCGGGAAACCTCCTCCGGTAACGTACTTCCTGCCTCGCAGGTCTAACACGCCTAGCACCCCTTCCTCGTCCTGACATCCTATAAAAGGCAACACAGAACGTTAGCAACAATTCAAGCCAAATGTGCCGAAACTAAGACACTCACGTCCTAAATGCATGGACAACAATAATTCACTCCACGTAAGCAGCATAAAACACATAGCACTTACGAAATTTCAATTTCCGGTAAATGATAGTCCCGGAGACGTTACTAGAGTTCCGTTAGAAACAGCATTGATCGAGTGCTTTTTTCCCAACAAGACTCCCAGAAACTCAAGGATCCAATCAACATCTAGAAATTAAATCCCATAACCCACATAGTCACATAAGCAATGTTAGCATTTAAGCACATCACATAATGATACTCATTCTAAGTCTCTATCAAGCGAGACAAAACCCATGTGGATATCTAATCACTTCCCACAGTACCCAAGTCATCGAACCCGGTACGCTCTGATACCAAGATTTGTAACGCCCTCAATAATAACATTAAACCCAGCAAATACGACATGCGTTGACTTAATAAACAAATCCACCTTCTATTATTCATTAGTGTCTCATTACATAAGTATTACATGTTAACATCATAACAAAATGCCCTACGGGCTTACAGCTTTCCAAGTTAACACATGGTTACAACAAAGAGTACTAACTCGATACACATTAGCCCTTGGCTTGAAGTTACATGTAAATAGATCAAAAGTAAAACAACAAAAACATGTCCGCCTCTAAGCCTCCCAGCTATGTCCTTGGAGGTGGCATGCTTCCTGTACCTGAAAATGATGTTCCCATATAGGGTGAGCAAAGCCCAGTAGAAATACACTAAACCAACCATGAACAATGACTAAAACATTAGCAATTGATAGTTGGTCAACACTGATACAATCACATAAATTTCATATTTATGTCTTACAAATTATGAGTCCAAGTTACCTTTCATTTTCCCTTTTCAACAGATAAGCATGTCAGCTCTAATCATCATTTCAACAGATATGTATAAAAACTATATCTCTCACATTCAGATAAGCATAAAAGCTATATCCACATTCTCAACAGATATGTATATCAACAATATCCACAGATAAGCATACAAGCTGTATCCACATTCTACAACAGATATGTATATCAACAATATCACAGATAAGCATACAAGCTGCATCCACACTTCACAAAAGATAAGCATATGAGCTCTATCTTCACTTCACTAGACAAGCATATGAGCTCTTGTCTACGGAGTTCATCCCTATCTCCTCCAATACCTATCCGGTTTAGAGGTACATCCCCTATCTTCCCCTAAACCGCGGAGTACATCCCCTTATCTCTCCTTCTACACATAACGTATACAAACACAAAGGTTCTATAATACAATCCACTCAATACATATAATTAATGTATTCAATCAACCGTCAAGTTCCAAGACACATTTCATTGATTAGTTCCAGTTTACTTAATCATCAAGCATTGCCTACAACAATCACGACTATCCTCCACCGATAGCCCAAAGCAGTTATTTCTAAACAGAAAATAAATGCACAAATGGATATTCAATCAACATTTCATTCCTCATTTCTCACAATTAATTATCTCAATTAATATTAAACAATGTAATTAGGCCATTTTCCATAATTACCATTTCAACCCTTAGGTCCCATTTTCATCAATAATTCAACCACTAATTCCATTCTTCTATGCCAAACATGCATCTAGGTTTGTTATGAATAAAACCCCAACTTTTGTAAAATTACACAAAAGCCCCAAAACTTTCACAAATTACAACCAAAGCCCAACATCTCAAAAATACCAAAAATTAAAGACAAAACCCATAGAGAGAGTAGGAATCCCTACTCAAATTCGGAGTCACCAAAGGAGAAGACGACAACCCAACGTGCTCCCAAAAACTAACCTGAAGATTTTCAGATTAAAAATGAGCCCCAGACGATCAACAACTTTTTGTAAAGGCCAAAAGGTGAGTAAATCACTCCTACTAGATCAAAACCTAAGAGAGAAGGTAGAGTCCAGAGTGAGAGGCTCACAATGGTGATTTTGGGAAAAGTAAAGAGAGAGAAGAGAAAGTGAAAAAAAGTGATTTGAAAAAGTCACAATTTCGGGACTTTAACCCAGGTCTAACGCTCAGACGTGTAAAACACCCCGCTCGACGGCCACTCACGACTTCCGCTCGAGCGGCCAACCTCCCGCTCGAGAAGCAGATGAAACTCCGCTCCCCGGACCAGCACTTTTGCAGGAACCAGGCCTCCGCTCGAGCTCCCAACTCCCCGCTCGTAGCGGCACTCAACACAACCCGCTCCAAGCGGACATCCACGCTCGAAGCGTACAACACTGCACAGAAAAAAACTGGATGGGTGTATTCCCGCTCGAGCGCCAACACTCCGCTCGAGCGGACAGGCCAAAAAATCTGGGCCTAAGTTTTGGTCTTCTAAATCTCAACCCAAAAACCTGAAACAAATCGCCCAACACATCCTAATACTCAAATAATGAAGAAAAAGGAATGTAAACAACAATAATAACCAACTACCAACATCCATCGGACAAATGTCCGGACACTAATATAACAAGGGTAAACCGGGATCGCTATAAATTGGTGTACTGAAAGGCGCACGCAGTGTTCCCAATTGCAGCACCAGTTTGAAGTATACACTTTTTTATCGGCTCGTGAAATATTTTGACGAGGGCGGGACCATTGCTGAAAATACGAGTAATCGGGGTCACTTGTACACAAACTAATGTTCAAACGAGGATTGAACAAGCACCAAGCTAAAGCGAATTGGCAAAATGGCCATTGATTGGGCAAAGGAATACCAGACATTTATTGGTGAGTGGAACAACTGACGCAACACCATTGTCCATGCTGAGAGGAGCAATGAAGTGCTTACATCTTCGGACCCATACATGTTATGGTTTCACCGTCATACACGTCTAGTACTTAGTAATCCGAGTGACATTGCTGCCTTTGGATACCAAGGCGTCGGGGGTAGTTTAGAGGGATTGGTAAGTTCTTTATATTCTCCAAAACAACATTTGCTTAAGTTTGTGTATGTTTGTTATTTGGCATTGATGGTTATGTAACACAGCTACCATTACATTACAGGTTCATAGAGTTGCGAGGGCATATCACATGGCAGACGCTGCCCATATTACATGCGATGGTAGAGAGGGATTGGATGCCATTGCCGAGATACAGGAGTTATTGTACGATGGTTTGCAACAGCCACACCCACGTGACCGACTAGATTTCGGCCACTTTGGCGAGGATCCTTATATGGGGGTAGATATTACATCGACATCAATGCCGCACCCGAATATGCCATCCACTGAGCCATTGACATCAATGCCTCCACCGCATCCTACCGCACGTCATGCACATCAATCGGACTATTTCGATATGGAACACTTTGGTGAGGGGCCTTCCATGGGCCTGTCCCCTCATGGTCCATCTACAGCAATGCATACACCGCAGACTTCCCCACCTGAATGTACCAATTACACATCCCAGTTTGCCCCTGAGGTAGATCCTCTAATGTTTGAACATACTTCCACACACCATGGCCATATATTGGACCCCTCCTGGTGACCACCCCCATATAGGACAACGGTTGGTACCCCGGTGACTCCCTTAGCACCACTGTCTACTACATGTCTATCTACTATGATTCTCTCTGCGTCGACATTGACCGCACCCGACCGTTTCACAGCACCATCATCTCCTACCCCACCATCATCTCCTACACCACATATGACCTTCACCTACCATGTTGATTCACTCATTACCCATGACCTCCACATTGACGAGGAGGGGGAGGGCCAGGTCCATGCACTTACTAGAGGGACAGGTAGGGGTAGAGGTTGTGGCGGCCGTCGTAGTGTAAGTAGAGGCCGAGGGCGAGGGCGACGCCAAGCAATAGACCATGACAATAATGCAGCGGATGATGGCGTTTCACAGCTTAGTGCCGTATGTGAAGGTGTGCCAGAGGTGGTATCAAATGATTGTACTGCAGCCATTGGTGATGTGCAGCCAGCTTCTACAGAAGCGGGCGAGGGAGTCGTATGTGCAGCAGCGCAAGATATACTGAGAGTATATAGTAAGCGACCCAGGAGACAAACCCATGGAAGGGGTTGTGGAACAGGGGGAAAATTAGGACATTAGGAACAACCAACATTGGTAAGTATATTCAAACATCACCTACCAGATGGTGTTTTCACTTGGATTAGTCTACATTGTTTAAGTTGTGGCTTATTATATAGTTCTGGCTTTTGGCTTATCTTATCTTGTGATTGTGGCTTATTTTATAAGATTCTAGATGCTGATGCTGCTACTATTTTTGTTACTGTTTTCAAGGAAGGGGTAGCTGCTTGCTGTGTTGCTGGTTGTTGGTTGCTTGCTGCTTCTTCATTTTGGTTGCTGCCGACTGTGTGTTGCTGCTGCTGGCTTGGATCAGTGAGCTGATAATTGGGTATGAATTTTATGGTCTTAAAATAGCTTTGGATGTGTTGCAGCTCCCCACTATTAGCTAAAGAAGTCAATGAATTGATATTTTAAGCACTAAATTGAAGCTTGTTCTAAACATCTGGAATACCTATATTTTCTATTTGTTTAGCTTCTTTATGCATAATTTGCTTACTGAAAGTGGTAACATTTATCACTGCCTTTTGATGTTTGCAGCGACATGAAGACTGTGTAATTATTATAAGCTCTAAAGATAGCGACAACACAATTTCTGATGTGGAAAACGCACTCCGTCAAATAGCCAGTTTGATTCTCAAGGTGATGTAATTTCTCAATATGTAATAAAGCTGTGATGTATTTGATGTGTTCAATTACAATGATGTGATGGTTATAATTTTTTTAAAATTGTTATGCACAGTTATCATAATCATACCTATGTTCATTAATGGTGTGAGTTTAACACATCATGCATATGAAAGAAAATGCATATATTTTATCATGCAATCTGTAAAGGTCCCCAGTCAAAGTTGTTGAATGTCTAAGCTATGAGTTTTCATGTATTTGCTAATTTTACAATATATGTGCCTCATGGTCCATCCATTGTAGCATCACAATGAACAAATGCATGTGATGTGCTCCTTGATTTCTTCTTTTTTCTTTTTCTTTTTCTTTCTGAATTTAAATTTATAATGTTTCTAATCTATTCAAATTTGAAACCTCTCCATATATATATATATATATATATTTTCCTGTTCTGTGAAACAAGAGGTTATATATTTATATACATTAGTTAATTTTTTCTTCTTACAATTTACTACCCTTAATGGCTAGTCAGTTGTTTTGGTTGAAATTGAATAGCCAAGCTGTCAACCCTAAATTAATTTTTTGTGCACTTGTAGGGTTAGAGCCAGATTTCTTACATCGTGTTTGCGGAATATAATTTAATATTTCATGCGTTTTTAATTGAAATATACCTTATAATGTGGGGCTTTTTGAAAATTTTTTCCATCTCTGTGCTTTTGGCGTTTTAAATGTTGTCGACCACTTAGGCCTCGTTTGGCAAGTTACTTTTTTAGCCAAAAAGTCAAAAAGTCACTAAAAAAACTAAAAAGCCAACCACTAAAAAGGATCCCAACAGAGTGCATTAAAGTGTTTCAAACTCTGTGATGTTTTAATCGCCACCACATTGCTTCTCAATTTTTATATATTAACATGCACTCATAGCATTTATCAAATTGTTGCCAGCCTATATTTCTTGTCATAACTCAACTCTTGTTTGCTTGATTCTGTTGATTCTAAAAAATGTTACCTATGGATTGGTTTTATTTATCCATTTTGTGAGTCCATAAATAGCTGATTGGAAGTTAAGTTGCTTACCTTGTCATGGTTGATTGATGGAAAAACATAATGTCTCTGCTCTCATATAGGACGATGATGGAAATCTAGAGGCACTGAAAGTTGGTGCTGGTCGTGTAGCTGCAAACACAATAAGGCCTCTGATTGTTGGTTCCCAAGCAGGTGGTTTGATTGGAATATCTGGTCAAAACATTGAGAAACCTGGGATATCCTCTGGTGCCACAATAGCAGTGCTTGCTCAAAGTCAATTGCCTTTATGTGCATCTGCACATGAATCTGATCGAGTGGTGCAGGTGAGGAATTTTTATTTTTTATTTTTTTCCAGTTATGAACTTAAAGCAAGATTCAGGAATACAGGTTTTCAAAATTTTATATTGTTTCTAATTAGTCTTTATATTATGCTTGTTCTGCCTTTGTCACTTATTAGTGGATGAATGATTTGATGGTATTTTAATTGAGAAAGCAAGGAATGAGAACTTATCTGCTATTTTTTTAATCACAAACCACAATATTTAAGCTGAAAAAACGTAAATATATTGATGCTTCTGCATAAACAAAGTAATGGTTGACTGGCCTGAATATGCAAGTATCTTGAAGTGTGGTTTAAATTACATATAAAAGGAAGTATATGCTTTGGACTAGTGTCACAAGTACTATTATTTAAACCTGGTATTTTCTGGAAACACAGAATATGACATGCATCTGTCCTCTGCTATCCTGGTTGATGGGCACCGAGGCTAAGGCTTCAGAGAACCGTCCCTTTGTTCCCACACCATTGGTGGAACTTGATTGTGCACTGGATTAGGTTCTGCTGCAATTACTGAATATTTTTAGAATGTCGATCATTTTTCATGAAATTATATTCATTAACATATAGTGAATTTTCTTGGGCTCAACATTATGCCTTCTGTTAATTTTGCTGCTGAGAAATGATAATCAATTATGTAAAATTCAGTTATCAGGAGATGTTTCTGCAGTAATGAAAGCTTTGGAGGAGATTGGAACTCATCTAAGGTGTAATATTAAAATTTTAATTGACTACATATGATTGTCTTTTAACTATCCATTTTAGCTTTCTTTATAATATCTAATAATTCTATTTGTATAGGGAAAATCCACCTAAACAAGTAGTTCAGCTAAATCCAGCGTATAATCTTGCCTTCAACCGACCACCTCAGTAATATGTGGACCCAACTTCAGGTTATTCAATGCTTTCTGATTAAAATATTGGTATTATTGATCTGCCGCATTCTGCAGCTGTATCAAAATTTAATTTTTTTTCCTTACAACAACATCATCTTTAGGACAACCAATCTTGCAGCTGATTATGTAACTCTGGAGATGATGGTCTCGGAAACTATTGTTGGTGGCTTGATTGGGAGATATGGTTCCAACATTTCGAGGATCAGAAGTGAGTCTGGAGCTGCAATCAAGGTATGTGGATCTTTAACTTTTAGCTGTGACTTTGCAGGTGGTAGTAGTCATAACAAGAGAAATGAGTGTTGCTTCCCTCTCCTTTTTCTGGTATATAAATTCCTTCATTCACATGGTAACCAGAAAGGAGTAATTCTGCATATGACTTTTGCCATTGTCCAAGATAATATTTCGGAATTTTTATAATTTTTGTGTGCCCCTTGAGTATTGCCATCTCAACCATCTTTTGATGATGTATAAAATGCCATAGTTGTGTGCAATTGTATGGTACATGCAGAATCATGCTTTTATCTTGCTGAAATATGCCAGTTGATTTACTATTTTATCAATTTTAACTCATGATTTTATTAATTTATATGTTTGAAAAATAGTTTAGAAAAAAAAGATTGTTTCTTTGTCCTAAAAAGGATATAATCATCATTAAATCATAAATAATTGTACATCATGATTATCTGCATCAAATTTAAACAAGAGCTTTGAATTGAAATTTCAAACTTTCTAACTCTTGGAACTATTTTATTTCATGGACGCAGAGCAACAGTGTTTCGTAGCAAAGTTTATCAATTACAAACTAATAGAAACTAAGAACTTTCCCTTTGTATTGCAATTTAAATTATGAATGATGTTTAAACTTTAAGAAGTATCAAGCCAGCTATCTAGCTCAGCGGATGTACTTTTATTACATATCATTAATTTTATTGTTAGTTTTGGAAACTTTGAATTGCATTAAAAAATCGTTTATGATATTCAGGTTATGGTGTCATCATTGTAGTTTTGCCTGCAAACTACATTCCCATTGTTTCACTCTTCATGCTGTTTCATTGTAGGTTATGGTGGGAAAGGTATGGAGAAACATAGGCAAATCCATATTGGTGGTAGTGCTCAACAGGTGAGCCCCCTCCCCGGGCTCGATTGTTAACGTTTTCATTTCCTGTTTTTGTATTCATTTTTTCTGGAAACTGGAAATAGAAACTTGGTTGGTATATTGTTTTGCTGGCCCTTTGTTGACCCTGTGGCCGTCAGCAACCTTTTGACGGCCCTCCGGCCACCTTGTAACCTTCGGCGACCAATTCCGGCGGCCACCCCCCATCAATGATCATCACAAATGTCCACCATCGGCCAGCGCCATTGTCAACTCACCAAACATGTTTCTCTATTTTTGTTTTTAAAACATTTTTGTATGCCAAACAAGTTTTTTGTTTTTTGAAAACAGGAAACTGACAACATTTACTTACAACCCCTAATAATTAATTTTGTAAAAAAAATCAAATTTATTTTCACAAATTAAAAGATCTCAATTAGTTCTTGTATATAAAGTCTTCAAAATCATTGGAAAAAGAAGAAATTTAAAAA